TATGCTTTGATCTCATCGTTCACCTGCTTCATCTGTGCTGGCTGTCCAGATGTTCACACTCCCCAGCATGACTCACAAAAGCCCTTATAACCTGGCTTCACCTACCTGTTCAATTCCATTTCAAGCCATTCTTGGTTTGCCTCCAAAACTCTTCCTTCTCATGTGTTATGTTCTTTCTTTTTTGGGACCTTTTCTTATGGACCTTTTTTTCTATTCCCTCTTGTCTACATGGGGAACTTCTACTCACTCCTCAATGCCCAAGAGAGAATGGCCTACTTCCATTATTGTGCCTTCTTAGCACTTTGTACTCCTCAGTTCCACCAGTTACTAGCTGTGTGATGCTAGGCAAAAACACTTACCCTCTCTGCACCTCAGCCTGCTCTTCAGTAAAGTGGGATGATAGAATTACCTTCTCACTGGGGAGTTAGGAGGACAACATTAAATAAGTTGGTATTATAAAATTACACTGAGAATTGTGCCTGACACAGGTCATACTCTATAATATTTATTACACAATGCCTAAACTTCACATGCTTCAGAAGGAATATTCCCTATCTATTTGTGTTGGCTGAGTGATAAGCCTACACAGAAGATACTCAGTAAAGAGGGAGGGTAAAATATTATGAATTAAATTACCTGGTAGCTGAGATTTTCGTTAATACAAAGAGGAAGGGAAGCAAGTGTAGATAGAGAGAACAAGATTCGGTAATTGTTGAAAGTGGTTGATGAATGCATGGGAATTCATTGGGTTATTCTATTTTTATACATGGCAGAAATTTTCCATAATACAAAGTTAATTAGCAAAAGTGAGGCAATCTGCTTTAGTGAGTTAAAGCTAATGCTCTCGATTTCTTTGGCTCTATTTATGAACTTCCTTTTTAGAATATAGCTTAAAGTCCTGGTTTTGGGAGAGAAGGTGGGAAGTGGGAGGATAGGGTAGTCAGGAATCTTGCTTTTCTGTGTACGGAAGACTAATTTTCCCTCCACCTTAGAGCCAAATATGGTACTGCAATGTGCGTTTGGAAATGTTCTTTCTTTACGCAACAAGTTGCTGTCTTACTCAAAATGTAGCTATCACTCCTGAGTCCTTTCTGGAACTTTTGTTGGAATTTGTGGGGCTTTCCTTTCTTCCTGTTTGCTCAGAGTCACCCAGCCATCTTGGAGCATCCTAGTCTGACAATTGATAAAGTCGTTTCAAAAGCCACACCTCCTGATTTGCGTTTGTTGCTGTCTGCTAAAGATGTGGCCTCTGGAGGGGTTAGTTCTGTCAGATGCAGTCTGTCCCCAGTGTTGGCAGCAGGCTGACAGGTCTGTTTGTAGAGACCCCCGGTACTTACTGCCATCCATCAAGCATGGGGAAGGACCACTCACGTGTCCAGATGGGGCTGGGTGTTGTCAAATTCCTTGGTAGCTGTGTAAGTGTGCATGTGTGTGTGTTCTTTCTTCTTCTCTCCTGGAAAATAACAATGAACTACTGTGCACGTAGGCATGTCTAGCAGAGCTGGAGGCGAATTCAAGAGCCTAGGAAAGATTCAGTAACTTTCCATTCTTCTAAGCAAAGAATCTGGGATTAGAATCCAGGTTTGATTTCAGTAGTTGAGTCTCTTCTATGGTGAGTCCCAGTGCTTTTCACAGATTTCTAATATCTGAAGGGAGCACAGGGGCTCTTTCCTGTGCTGAGGGAAAAAGGAGAAATGTAGAACACACGGGCCACTGGATCTCCCAGCTTGATTCAACCACACGGGCTTCATTTTAATCACTTCTTCTTTCAGAGTGGTAATTGCCAATATTTAGTGTGTGCCTTTAAGTGCTTGGCACTGTGCTTAGCAATTTATACACATTCTGTCACTTAATGCTCATGACAGACCCAAGAAATGGATGGTGTCACATTCCCTCATTTATCCACAAGGAGACTGATGCACAGAAAGGATAAGAGACTTGCTAAAGATCACACAGCTAGTTTAGCCAGGAACTGACACCGTGCTGTCTGACTTGAGAGCCCAGTGCACCTGGTCCCCCCTGATTTGATTTAAAGAAACAGTTGCACGATTCCATATGGCTCCACTCAGCAGTCTTTCCCTTCCTTCCTTCCATTCATTCTTTATCAAGCAGGCCTTGGGGAGAAGACATTGAAACTGAGTGAAACAAAGTTCTTTCCTAAGGAGGATTTCAAGGTCTGGAAGAAAGAATTGTACAGGTAAAGCAAAACGCGCAGGAAGAGAAGAACCCTGTTATGCAGGCCCAGAAGAGAGAGCACGCGAGAGCTTTACAATCGGCAAACAAGGGGAAAGCTGTGGAAAGACTTGCTGAGGTCACCCTGAAGGGCAGATCTGAGATGCCCCCTCAGTTATCTGCCTGGGAGTGCCCTGGGGCAGCAGCGCAGAGTTCTCAGGGTGACCCTGACAGAAGGAAATTGCAGGTGCTGCAAGACACTTTTATTTATTTTTCTGTGGGCCACATTTATTCACCCACTCATACCCCCACCCAGCACTCTAATCCTGTTTTGGATTTTTGCTTGGTTTATGCAGGAACGAATGCATTTTCTCACCTGTATCTTTAATGATACCATCCTCAGAATGCCAGGCCAGTGCTGCCATCTCCCATTCTTCTGCATAAATGTCACCACCTGTCATCAGGTGTTATTTTGTTTAGGGCAGTTTTGCAGCTCATGGAGGGTCTGTCCTTGTTTAACTGACTTGTTTTGTTTTTCATCAGAGCTTCTGGATATTTCCTCTGTTTCTGTCTCTTATTATCCATCTCTCATGCCCATGTTTGAACCCAGATGTCTTTCCTAACAAGAGAAAAATTATGAGAAATAGAAAAGCAGCAAGTCGCACTGGGCCTTCTAATCCGTAGCTCACTTTGGAAACAAGCCCACGGGATTGCATTGCGGCCCAAATTGCAGTTTATTTAGCACCAGGGGCAGCTGCCCCTCAGTTCCCTGGAGGCAGGTGGAGTCCCCTGGTAGAAGAAAGTCCCCAGGGATTCCCCAACCCTAGCAATGCCCCCGGCATGGGTTTGAAAAGCAGCCCCTTTGCACCACAACCCAGGGTCTGCTCTGCTGCCTGGGGACTGGCTTTGCCGTATTAACCACGTGCCCTCAGAGCTCCCCCTGACCTTCCAGATCTGTTGCCTGCAGGGCCCAGGGTTTCCTGAGCCAGTTCTGATGAACTTGGCAGTGTGGTGGGAGTCCCCTACAGCAAGAGGGGGTCTACAAGATTTCTGCTGACCTGAGCCTCATGTCAGGAAGGAACTTGCTAGATCAGAGTCACCCCTCAGACCCTCAGGGGTCTGCCTGGCCTTCTGCATTCAAAGTCCCTGCCAGGACCGGCTCCTCCCTGGGCTCTCGGTTCCCAGGCCTGGCCCTGTCCTGGCCCTGCCAACCCTTCCTCCACCCCAGCCTTCTGGATGTCTCTGGAAGTGCTGCATGCTAGAGGGATAGCCATTCTCCAGCACATCTCCTTTCTTAGGAAAAAATTTAATTATGTCTCCCCAAACCGAACTCTTCCTGAGGGAGGCATGGCTAAGTCAGAGGGAACTCATGTATTTCCTCTCATTTTGTTAATAGAAAGCTGCACCTATTAGGGAGAAGGGTTTCATCACAATCATCCTTCAGCCAGTTGCCAGCCCTGCTAACTCTCGGCTGGGATTCCTGTTCTTGGGTGGGGCAGAGCTTTCACTGAAATGGGAAGTAAATGTAAGGAAGGCAGGGCCAGGGCATCTTTCAGATTGTGCTGTAACTGTTGTTGGTTCTGTGTGGACTCCCACGGAGGCCTGTCTTGCTGCAAATAGCTTTGTCTTGTTTCCTTTCTGGCTATCTCCTTTTTTCAGCCAGACAGGCCTCCTAACAGATTCCAGTTACCAAAGGCAGTCCCTGACTGTTTAACTCGCCTTCTGGAGGAGGGAACAAGGGGAAAGGCAGCTTATGTTCCAGCATCAAAGACTGGAGCTTTGTTTACTGATATAATAAGCTGCTCTCAGGCAGGGGTGGAGTCATTTATTTACCTGAATCTCTCCTTCTGAATCCCTACAAATGTAGAGTAGTAGAGTAGTGCCAGTGCTTAGCAGATGCTCGAAAATGTCTTCTAAGTGGACTAATGCATAAACATCTGGTACTTCTAATACTATTGGTCCTAATAAACACCATTGAGTGGTGTCCTGTGAGGATTAACTGAAAGAACCTAACAGTGTTCTTAGCTAGTTAATTTTGTTACCACTTTATTTATGAGGAGTCTGCAAGAAGTTAAATAACTTGCTCAGGAGCACAACACCTGTAAATGGCAGAGTCAGGCTTTGAACCTACGTCTGCTCATTTGCACAGGACGGTGTGTGTGGTGCATGTCACTCTGTAGCGCTTCTGTGTTGACATAATGCAAATAGCTGTGGAAACGCAAAAAGAGTCACTGCTTACTCTGCCTGGCAGAATTAGAACAAGCTTCACAGAGGACATGCTGTGTGACTTGAATATTGAGACCCATTCTGCATGATGGAAAAGGACAGGGTGGCATTCAAGCCCGACAAGGCTACATGCGCAAAGGCAGAGCACGACTGGGATCCAGCGAGGCTGTTGGCCGGGGTGCGGGAAAAGGTTCCAAGTTGAGCAAGTAAGAGGGTGGCTGAAGATGTGCTCAGGGAGGTTACCTGGAGCAAGGCAGTAGGTGAGGCTGGATTCCATCTGACTAGGACAGCTTCCAGAGAATTCTATGGTAAGCAGGCTGTATGGCGGGACCATGTATTTATCTCCCCAGAGTTTGGCAGTGGAGAAAATCTTCATGGGAAGACCTCCCTTCTTTGCTTCTACCATGGTACATATGTGACTTCCAGCAGTGTACATTCTAGAAGGAAGTATTAGTTTAATTTCCTTAAGGAATTTATGCAGCCAATTGGTCCCTTAAGGTCTTTGGGTTCCAAAAAAAAAGCTACTTTTTGCTTTGATTCTCTCGTTGTTAGTAGCTGCTGGGTGGTTTGTGTAATCTAACGCCCTTCTCTTATCTTTGCAGATTGAGGCCACACCACAAGGGAACTCGCCATAAACTTCATAGGGAGACGATGGCTTTGCTACAGGGACTGTCCCCTGCACCTACTCCCTTGTCATTTGAATAGACAATATCTGCATCACTGGGATCAACCACCTCTACTGCTTATCTTCACACCAGCTGGCCAGAGTGAGAGGTAGGGTCCCTTGCTACCAAGTAGAGCTTTTCTTTGCTGATATTGTATGAGTCTGTGGTATATTTAAGGTAACTTAGAGATCTTTTAGCCTAACCCACATATTATAGAGGGAAAACCAAGGCTCAGAGAGGTGAAGTGACATGCCTGGGGTCACACACAATAGACCTTCCCTGTCCTACAAAGTAGCTACTCGCCACATATGCTTATAAAGCACCTGAAATACAGCCAGTCTGACTGCAGTGTATAAAATACACAGGGGATTTCACTGACTTAGTATGACTAGAAATATCTCATTGATATTTTTTATATTGGTTACATGTTGAAATGATATTATTTTAGATAGATTGGATTAAATTAACTGCATTATCAAAAATAACATCACGTGTTTCTTTTTTTGCTTTTTTTCATGTAGCTAGTAAGAAATGTGGAATGACCTGTGGGCTTGTATTATGTCTTTGATGGACAGCGTTCAAGAGCTTGGAGTAGAACCCAGGCCTCTTGACTGGGATGCTAACATGGAACAGGGTTGTGGAGGGTCGGGGCAGGTAGCGGTTGGATCAAAGAAGCCATAGGCAAGGAGACCTGTTAGGAGGCGACTGCAGCAGGCACACCTGGGTGGTGGCTGTGGGTGCTCAGTGCCATCAGTCATTGGAACAAGCTCCTGTAACTCCTGGGGTGTCCCTGTCATACTGCCCCCTGACCCCGGCTCCCCTTTCTAACTGTCCAGTGCCTTGAAGCTTGCTTTCCCTTCCTGTGCCACTCCAGATGTCCCCCGTAGGAAGGTGCCTTCCAGACTGGTTCAATTTCTGACTGATCCCTTACACCCTCTCTGCTGTTTTTCAACTGCCTTAAATGACCTTTTATCCCACTTCCTCACAGAGCTTTTCCTTAGAAAACATGTCAAAACAACATGTTACTTTGAAAAATTCTAGAATGACCACTTACTAAAGGAATGAGCACCTATTCTTCACTCCTTTTCTTGCAATATTGTAGCCCCAGCTGCCCTAGTCTGGCTTCTGCAAAAAATGCAGAGGAGTTAATAGAATGAAAGGTCAGCTGGCTGGTATGGAAAACAGGTTTGAGTATCTGGTGTTGAGTATTACGCAGTCTGTCCCACTGTGGCTCCAGTTCCCTTCTGCAGCTCTTCTAGGCTCAACTTGTATGGATGTGAGATAGGAGTTCTTCATTCATTCACTCACTCAATCAGTGAGGGTTTAGCAAGCATCTGAAGTCTCCCAGGCATTGTGCTGGGCTCTGGAGAAACAGTGGTGTGCATAGTAGACACAGTCTTATAGCGAAGAGAAGAGAAAGATGCAAACCAATGAGTCAGAGGTGGCTGTCAAATCCCATGCGCCGTGGTGGCTCTGCATGGGCTGGCAGCTCAACTCTCTGACCAGGGTGAAGTTGCTTTAGAATTGCGACCCAGCAGAAACCTGGAGCACTGTGCCAGTTTGGGCACTGAATAACCATTCCTGAGTTCCAGTCAGAGTTTTGGGTTCTGTTGCTTAGACTCAACTCCCTCAGTACCATCCTTTCTAATATTCCAAACAAAACTCATTCAGCCACTGGCTTCTGGGACTAAGGTTACGTCCTCTGGCTTTATCACTGCAGAAGTGGTGCACACTTCTCCATATTCCCTTAATTCACGGAATGCCCCAGCTGCTCTTCAGCGGGATGCTGTTGACTCTGTCACTTTGCAGCCCTCTGCAAGAGGGGCAGCTCCTCCCCGCTTCACCTCCTGTGCTGTACCTCAGGATTAGGTCGAGTCTAATCCTGCGCAGGGAGTGAGGGAGTCTTCCTCCTTCCATGATATCGCTCATAAATTTTTGCCTTTTTTTTTCCTTTAAACTTTGTTTTAATTTTAAGAGCTATATACTAAAAAAGACACACACAAAAAAACATGTAAAGTTTAACTATTACAGTGAATGCTTAGGAAAATGCCACAGGCCAAGAACAAGGTCACTGCCAGAGCCCAGGAGGACCCTCTGCACCCCTGGCTGATCACAGACCCTCTCCCTCTCCCATAGAGAGAACCCAGCATTCCGACATTTGGTATAATTCCATCCCTCGCTTTTCTTTATCTTTTACCATTTATATGCATTCTAAAAGCATAAAAATCAATTTTGTCCTTTTCTGAGCTCTGTATAAATGAAACCATATTGTGTGTATCCTTTGGTGTCTGGCCCCTTTTGGTGTTTGTGAGGGTCATTCACGTTATTACTGGTTCCGGTAGCTTCTTCATTTTTATTACTGTAAAGAATGATCATTCTTTTTCTACTGTCTTGAAAATCTGCTCTTCTGCTTTGAGCCCAATAATCTTGGGCTGCTTCTGCCCCATAGTCCTCATGCCCACCTCAGGCACTGCCTCATCCTGGATGAGACCCTATACTTTTCTATTATGAACATTTCGAACAAATCGAGGGGAGCTGTTTACTAAAACCGCGTATACCTGGCACCCAAATCCACCAGATCAATTTATGGTCAAACCTATTGTGCCTGTATCCCCATGCAGTCCTCTCCCAATTATATTGAGAAAATCCCAATTATCATATATTCCATTCATAAATATTTCTATACCACCCTCAAAAAATTTAAGGGTCCTTTTGAAAAAACATAATCCCATATCATTATCATTTAAAGAATGAAAGCAATGGTATTTTGTTAATGCAAAAAAAATTAAGCTGATGATGAAAATTTATTGTTATCTTAAATTTTTTTAATACTCCTTTGAATCGGGATTAAAATAAGATTCATAAATCACACCATCATGGTTTGTATTTCTCTTAAAAAGCTTCAATCTATAAATTCCCCATTCTGCTTGCTCACTTGCTCTCTCTCTCTCTCTCTCCATCTCTCTCTCTCTTTTTCTTAATCTTGATCTTATCCTTACAATTTATTTATTTATTAAATAAACCAGATCATTAGTCTCTGGAGTTCCTCACAGTTGGGATTTTTCTGTTGTTTATCATGTTCTTCTGTCCCCTATGTTTCTTTTAAATTGGTGAATTGTTCTAGAGCTTTGTTCCAGATTTAGTTTGAATTTTGGCAAGAATTCCCCAGAAGCTGTACTTTGCCTTCCCATCAGCAGGTTGCCTGAGGTGTCAGCAGCCAGTACTACTCATCACGTAGGTGATCCATCCCCCGTCCCTGCAGTCTTTCTCCACGGTTGCAGAATGACAACATTCTAATTCTACCATTCCTTCATTTGTCAGTGACAATGCTTTTATAAAGAAACTTTCCCTTGTCAACTGTTTGATTTCCCTGAGAAAAATTCTTGCAGGAAAAGGAGAATAAATGTTTCCTTTTCATTGCTTTTTATTTTTCAGAATAAATGAGATGATTCTGTAACATAATCCAAAGGAGAATGAGGGCAATTTTTTTTTCTTTTACTAACTTTATGAATTTATGGATACATCTACATTTAGAATGTTTTAATCCATTGTGATTATCCTTATGATGCCTATCTTAGCCCAAGGAGTCTTTTAAATTGACTCCTGAGTTCTTAAGACCTTTTAGTACAACCTCAGTAGATATCACACCTTCTTTGCTTTCTGATACAGCATAGCATCATCATATAACATCATTCATGGATATTTTCGAGATCCTGAGTTCCTTTAAGAGTGGAAGACCATAATCTGGATGCTAAGAGTGTTCTTTGCTACAGGGATGGCTATTATTTCCAAACATTTTCAGTGGACAGAGCCAGGAGATGAAGATAATTGTCATGAGTTCATGTAGATACTATATATCAAATTAGGTCTACATAGTTTTTACTTAATATTTTTGATTGTACATCTTTATTTCCTTTCTCTTATGCCAAACATTGAATTTCTCAACAACACTGATATAATTATTCATTTTCTTTCTCACACAGTTCACACACAACAGACTCAGAATAATATAAACACTACCATCAACAACACAACTATTAAAATCAATTTAATATTTTTGGCAGTTTCTTTGTCTTCCAGGTGTATTCCATGAAAGATATACAGTAAATTACTATGTTATAAAGTCATTTGAAATGTTTCCTTTCATGTGGTTATGCCACAAACTCAGTATACTATTCAAGTCAATTGTTTCATTCTACTTTTTATTTATATAGACTACTTATTATTTATTTTATAATTATGCAAAATACTAATGTGTTCCAAAGTCATATCATGATATAGAGTGTATCCAGGGAAATTTAACTTCTATCCTTATTCCCCAACCCTGTTTTTTTCTTCCCCATGGGGGCCATTTGTTTTTAAGTTTTTGTTTTGTTATTCCTTTTATTAAAAATTTTTTTAAAATACATGTATGCATCCTCACCTCCTCTGTTTGATAAATGGCAGTATACTTTTCTCCAACTTGCTTTATTTCATTTAATAATATATCACTTCAAGAATATTATATAAATGGGATCATACAGCACACAACCTTATGGAACTGGCTTTTCTCAGCATATTTCTCTGGAGACTAACCCACAGTGTATTAATTTTTGACCATATTAATAGTTCTTATTGATTGCTGTACAAAATTCTATGGTGGGGATATGCCAGTTTGTTTGGCCATTCACCTGTTCAAGTACCTCTTGGTTGTTCCTAGGTTTAGGCTGTTACAAATAAAAGTGCCACACATTTGTGTACAGGCATATGTATGAAAAAGCTCCCTATTTGGCCTCCTCTGAGACCAACGCTGCAGTGGGGAGGGACACTGGCACATCTTGTTGCAGCCTCGTGAGGGTAGAAGTATCTAGGCCTCTGCTGGTGTGGGTGGGGTGGAGGTGGGGCCTAAGTTCTTTTCTGTGGTGTTTGGCTGGAGTAGAGCTGTTATTTCTAAAACTTTCCTGTCTTCCTAGGTTGCCCTTTTCCTGGTCCTTTGCTAGAGAAAGCGGGCTTTGTTGGAGCTTTTCCCTCCACTCACGCTGGCATTTCTGGGGTGCCACCATCTCCAGCACTCAGCCCGGGAGATAGCAGGCAAAAAGAAACCAGAGAACTCAACACCGTGTCATTCTT